TTTTTTGGGTTTTTTTTTTTTTTTTTTTTTGAGACAGGGTCTCACTATGTAGTTGAGACTGACCTGAAACTCACTATATAGCCCAGGCTGGTCTCGAACTCACAGCGATCCTCCTGCCTCAGCCTCCCAAGTGCTGGCAAATTTCTGACAAATGAGTCAGTGTGTAAAAGTACTGAAGGTTCACCACGCCCTTTTCAGTAATTTTGAGACAGAGTACAGCTCTCCAGGGTAGCCTCTGTCCCTGAGCTCTTCAGGGAGAAGGGCACCCAGGAGGAGAAGGAAATGCACCTCCCTTTGCCCACTGCGGATGTTCTCCTTCCCCTAGCCCAGCCTGGATGCTGTCTGCCCCCAGGGTGGGTCTGCAGCCCTTCCTCGCTGGATCTGGAGCACAGGGAGCCTGACGGGTTTGGCCCAAAATCCAAGGAGGGCAACGTGGGTCCTAAACAACCACCATGCGGGGCCGGGCACCAACAGGAAGCCTCTCCTTTGATGGACTGTTCCTCTGCTTCCCTGCCCCGATGGCCTTGTCTGAGTCACGTGGCCATGCTCAGGCCCTGAGTCCTCTGATGGGGAGGGGGCAGAAGACAAGGAGAGGATTTAGAAGAGAGCCAGGAGGGCCACAGGTGTGGAGACTCAAAGAGATGATGAGGCCAGGCTGTGTGTCTAGAGCGCTTGTAAGGACCCAGAGAAGTCGGAGCCTCACAGGGAACCTAAGAGAGGGAGCAGGGGCTCTCCACCCTAGGAAGACCTCACCATTCATCCAGTCCTTCCTGTAGGCGTGTGAGGGCTCAGCCATGGCGATGGGGCCAGGACAGTGGCACCAGTGAAGTACTTGAGCTCCAAAAGAGGAAGGACAGAAGGTGGGGTCCTCCGGGGGCTTCAGGTCCGTGGGGTGGTTGTGTGCAGAAAGACTGTTGACACTGTGACTGGAGGGCTTTGGGGCACGTGGGCTCCTTACTTTGGGGGTCAAAGTCTTAGTGGACTTGCTCACCCCCAGCCCCGTCCTGGCTTCCCATCCAGCATTTTACGAGGGTGGGTACACTTTCCTGGATAGCCCTCTGAGATTTCCAGGAAACCTCATACATCGCTGGGAGCAGACCAGCCGAGCCCTTCCCAGGCGGAAGCCAGGTTTCTAGATAGAGCTACAATGAGCGCCACAGGCCCTGACGCTCAGCTGTGACACATCTTATCCCCTTGGCCTTGTGGGCTCCCTGACAAAGACCAACGAACAAATGGGGAGGTGGCCTTTGCTTTGTATGCACCAGTTCTTGAAGGCAGGAATAAGGGAGCCAGGCACATAGATGATGTGTGGCCCTCAAGGGCCTTTCAGTACACAAGGCCCTGCACACGTCTGTCCTTGTTTTGTCAAGGACTCCGTGGAGGAGGGATGCAGGGGTTCCAAGGAGACTGATGCTGGCTGCAGGCTGTGGAATGAGACCGGGCTTCACAGCTTTAGACCTGTGCACAGTTCCCTTGGCCAGGAGGCTGTTTGTCCTTGGAGAGACCGGGCAGCCCATGCGTCTCCTAGGGCGAGCAGTTGTGCAGCTCAGCTGGGTGTTTTGGCAGCCACAGTCAAGGGCTGTAAATGCATGTTTTCCTTTTGATCGGGCAAACCTGTATCGAGGCGTTTTTCTAAAGAAAACAGTTAAGGGTACCTAAGCATTTGGTTGAAGAGTTATTTATCCCCGTCCCCCTTATCTTAGGGAAATTAGACCACGGCAGCAGGGGAGTGACCGAGTCGATCCCAGCATGGCATGCTCCGCAGGTGACACATGGTGTTGATTTTTAATTGAAATAGAAAAAGTTCAGATATCTAAGAGGAACCAGACTTCCTTTCTGCAAGTGTATATTTTCTGAGAGGGAGAAAACAGACCCAAGATGCTGTCTCTAGGGCTACATTTGTCAAGGCTCTCTGGAGAACAGATCCATAGGATATAGCGAGAGACGTACAAGATGGGATTTAGTATGGAAACTGGCTCATTCGATTATGGAGGCTGATAGAGTGCTGTAGCCTGCATCCAGGGCCCTAGACCTAGGAGCTGTGGTGTCTGGGGGCAGTAGATGGACGCCCCAGCTTCTGCAGAGAGAGCATTTTCCTTTCAGCTGCCTTTCTGTTGTGCCTGTGTCCTCAGTGGCTTGGGTGAAGGCTCTCCAGACTGGGGAGGGGGAATCTAGGTCAGGTGGTCTAGATTTGGATGCTAATTTCCTCCAGAAACACTCCCAGACACTCTCAGAAATCACGCTGATTGCTGTCTGAGCACCCCATAGCCCAATCAGGTTGAGAGAGGAAATTAGTCACCCCAAGGGCCAAGAAGAGTGATCAGAACTGAAGTAGGTGGGAGCTTGGGTAGATAATTTTCCCACGGAGAGAAGCCCTCTTCTGCATCAGCCACTGAGCCTGGACAAAGCTTTTGGTGCCTGAATCCTCCTGAGATGTCCACGCCCTGGCCACGTCCCTGCCGTTCGTTCACTTTTCCTTGCAAGAACGGGTCCCAGAGGATCACTTGCTTTGCCTTCCTGGGGCTGTGTTTCTCAAACTGAATTTCCCCAGCCTGGCAGCATCACGACCTCCTCAGCTCCCTGGAGGAGGTGAGGTCAATAACACTGCCAGGCTGGAGGAAAGGAAGGTATTGTCTGCGCTACGGCTGGGGTTTCTGTATGTGCAGTACCCACCCCAGACAAGACTGAGTGGGCACCTTCAAAGTGCCCCTGCTCGTCCTCCAGCAGTCGGAGCCAAATCACCTGCATGCTCACTCTGGCCGGCTTGGCACTGTTCCTGACCTCACCCCTGCCTTGATGTCACAGCACAAGTCTGCTGTTCCCATGACAATGGGCTGCCATAGGCAACCAACGAGGGAGCTACTTGCCAGTGGAGCTGGAGAGCTTCGACCCCAGCCAGCCTGGGTCAGTGGGACCCCTGCACACCACCACAGGGTGGCTGTCCCTTCTGTAGGGTGAGGGTGGACCATGTCTGTGCCCAGCTGTCAGGCGAGGCTCCCAAGAGGGCCTTGGAGGTGGGCTGATGAGGGTGTGCAGGACGCAGGTCAGGAGGTCCATGTGACAGAGCCTGCACCGCAGGGCTCTACAAGGACGGTTAACCCGGGGGGATGAGGATGGGTGTGTGGAGCTGGCAGAATGGAGCTGGGGAGTGGGAGCTGTCATGGTGCAGCAAGAGCAGCTGCTAATTTGGGGGACCTCCGCCCAGGCTGGGGACTTGGAAGGCAGGCGGTGGTCAGCCACAAGTGGCCCACCAGCTTGCTGGTGTCCAGATCGTGAGTTTGGGGTCGGTCAGCCTCGGAGTCTGTCTCGGTGAAGCTGCTCCAGGAGGCAGCTGAGGCACGATGAGCCTGAGCTGGTCCCCCCAGTGGCTCTGCCCGCTAGAGCTGTGCAGTCCTGGTGGGTTATAAAGAGATGGCGAAATTCACAAGCCCCAGTCCAGGACTTGGTTGAAAAGAAAACCTGCTGTGGGCCTGGGTGGGTCCCCTATTCTGCCATGACAACTTCCCTGCCCCCTGGGTTCCCATGCTGCCAGCCCCAAAACTCAGCCCAGCGGCTTTTGTACTACCACTGTAGAACTCAGCTCGACGTCAGGAAGTGGCGAAAACCAGGCTTGGGGCAGCACACAGGTGTCCCGATGTCATGCGTGTTTATTTTATCTGGGCGTGGCTAGGATGCCTTCAGTGATGGCTGTCTCACTGCCTATCCAGTGATTCCAAAAGAGCCCTGTAGGAGGTGCATCCCTCACCTGGCCAACCTCTGCCTCCCTGTCATGTGCTCTCCGTGGTCCACCCCAGTCTTCTGGACACACGCACGGTGAATACCTCTCTCCCCTTAAATTGCCGGCCAAGCACTTGGGTGGTCCTCACCGTCACCACCCCCGTACTGATGAGGAGACTGAGTTGAGCAGCTCGCTTTTGGGTCATGTGGCTGCTTAGTGCTCTTGACCTCTGCACTGTGCTGTTCCAGAACTTGTTCCTGAAGCCACCTCTGTGCCCAGCTCTGAGAGTCTCGGCCTAGGGTGTCCGTTCTGTGCTTGGTCTTGTCGTTCTTCCGAGCTCTGCATCTCTCCACTCTTCACCGCCACCCCACGTCCTTTCGGAGACTCAGAGGCGCCTCCCCCAGCAGAGTCTCCTTTGTCTGTGTCTGTTTTACCCTGCACACTGGAATCTTCAGTTTAGGGAAACTTGTAGGCATCTTGAAAGTCCTTGAGGTGTTCTGTGTTATCATCTCAAAGACAACTAAGATTGTTTTTGTTTTTGTTTGTTGAGGTCAAATAATACGTATTCTTCACACACCTAAAGGCCTGACAGCTGTCTAACTTGACACGAGGCTGAACTTTAGCTGAATGGCAGCATTCCCTCTCTAGTCCACCCCAACTAATGGAAGCTTCTTTTGGTTGTTTCCGGGGGAGGTATTGGGGATTGAACTCAGGACCTGTACATTGAGCTACATTCCTCGCTCTTTTTTATTTTGAGGCAGGCTCTCACTAAGTTTCCCAGGGTGGGTTTGGACTTGTGATCCTCCTGCCTCTGACTCCTAAAGTGCTGCGATAACAGGCTTGGGCCACCGCGACTGGCTAATGGGAGCCCTTCTATGGCTGGTTTTATGTATTTCGGAGAAGTGCTGACTGGGTGACTGGCCTTTGGAGAAAGGGAAGAGGGTGCTGCTGTTGTGTGGAGGGCAGGGTGGCTCCTCCCTGGTGCTGCTGGCGGGTATGCGAAGCGGACTGAGGTCGTAAGCTGCCCGAATGTTCCAGAGCCTGGAGCCGGAGATCCCGGCTTTGTGAGACTGATGAGTCAGCAGCTCCCGTGCCTGTCCACAGAGGCTCCATCGGCTCCAGCTCGGCAGGGCCCGGAAACTGCACGGGGCTCAGGTGCATGCTGCAGGTGTCCACGGGTCACGGCGGCAGCCCGGCCGGTGGGCTCCACGGGGACCTTTGTGGTGGAAGCTGTAGCCACAGCGCAGCGGGGAGGGTGCAGATGGCGGGTGGGCTGATAGAGAGCCTGCCAGGGAAACTTGGAGGGCTCAAGGGGGACACAGCCTCAGTGGAGACTCATCTGCTGGGCCTCCACTCCAAGCAGGGCCTGTGGACCAGTGTCCGAGTTGGCGTCCACATCGGTGTCCTTGGGGAGCGACTCAGACCTGCAGAGTCCCACGGCCCCTCGTGAAACCTGCCGAGCTGAACCGAACTCACTGAGTCCAAGAAGCATTGTGCTGAACCAGCCATGGAATGCACCTTGAGGAATAAAGTCCATGTGCTGGCGGGGATGGGGCCCGCTCGGTGCTGATGTGAGCATCCCGTGGTGGCGCAGGGGAGGAGCACAGGAAGCTCGCAGGCCCATCGCACGCTTAGAGCCTCCTGAGGCCCAGCACCTCCGGATCCAGGGAGGCTGGAGGTCGGGTGAGGGTGAGGACTGCTGAGTGCCCGCTCTCACTTCCAGGTTCGGAGCCTGGGGCCAGTGGTCCATCTGCTGCTGGGTTTGTGTCCATGCTGTGAGCTGTTTGGTCACAGGCAGGTTCCTTCGCCTCTCTTGAGTCCCAGTGTCCCTGTCCGAAGGGAAGATAGGGCTGGGTCTCCCCTCTTGTGGTAAACTAGAAACAGCGCAAGACGTGTATGGATGGAGTTCGGAAGATGGGAGGCCCCACAGGGGTGCGGTCAGCCAGGGCTGCATGGTTATCAGTGCCACGTCCTCACAGCCAGATGTGTTTGTCCCCATCTTTTCCACATTCATCCCCTGGATCTCTACAATGACAGCCAGTCCCAGGCACATGACAGGGTAGGCCCCGGACAGAGTTGGTGTGTGCGGGGCCTTGGGAGTCAGAGGGGGAGGAAAAGCGGTTTCTCCTCCTGTAGGGGCCGGAACACCCCTGACGATGGAGGAGCTGCATCCTGGCATCATCTCGGGACACGTTATGCTTGCTCTCGTCCACCACGTCTGTGACAGGACACGGCTCCTGCTGTGGTGTGGCTCCTGGGTATCTGTGCGTGCCAGGCTCCATGTCACATCTGCGGCCAGCCACACTGCTACAGCCAGGGGCCTGAGTCTTTGTCATGACTGCGGCCGGTCAGCTGTGTGACTGTCCTCCTTGTCGGACTGGACAGGCCTGTCCCCAAAGCTCCTAGATGGTCGACGATGGTCTACCGTGCCCCGCATTCGTGGATCCGGGTGGACGGCATCTTGTCTGTCCTCCAGAAGTGAATAGCAGAGGTGTACAGGTCAGCCCCAACCTGATGTCCCAAACCTGGGTCTGACCAGAAGCCCCGACTAGCAGTGCCTCACAGTGTCTCTGATGGGATGTTTGTTGTCCTTGATCCTCTGGAATCCACAGCTGCCACTGTCTCTGCCTGGGATGCTCAGAGGCCCCGGGTGTCTCTCCAAGGAGAGGGTGGGAAGACCTAAGGACTGTCCGTGGCCACCTTGTGCAGGGTCTTTCTTGGGGAAAGGCGGGGCCTACATCTTTGGAAAGCTGTCTGAGCAGCCATCTGGGTGTGGCGACCATAGGCTGGCTTTAGGTGCTGGGGTCACAAGGCTGCAGAAAGCTAGAGAGAAAAGGCCTGATGTCCATTCTGCATGGCGGGAGGCTCTGGGGCCACAGGTGGCTGTCAACACTATCTTCCTTCCCATCAAAGGATGTGAGGGCAGTGTGGGCATGGTGGCTCAAGCCTGTAATCCTGGTACTTGGAAGGCTGAGGCAGGAGGATCTCTGTGAGTTTGAGACCAGCTTGGGCTACATAGTGAGTTCCAGGTCAGTCTCAACTACATAGTGAGACCCTGTCTCAAAAAACAAAACAAAACAAAAGACTGTGAGGGAAGCTCCACCAGGAAGGGGGCTGTGCTTTCTCCAAGTGGTAAGGGCAGCTGGTATAAAGCCACCCATCTGCTTTTGAAGGTCTGGACAACATGGGGATCACTCATAATGAGGATATATATGGTGAGGGGGATGTAGGGTCTCCAGGACTCTACTCAGTCCAGAATGGTTTCCCCAGCACACACGGTGCGGCTGTGTCTGGAGCGGGGACCCCAAGTGGAAGCATGACTCTCTTCCTTGGCAGCTGTCCTGGGAAGGCTCTAGGGGGCGCGGGCGGCAGGCACACATCCCATCTGGAGGGCTCCCCATGGAGTGCATGTCCCTGGTCACTTCAGGGCTCCCTCATCAGCACTGCCGTGAGTCCAAGAGGGACCCTGACATCTCTTTTCCAGTACATACTTCATAGTGTCCTAGGGACCCGCAACACCTGAACTGCTGTCATTTCCTAAACTTTACCCCAAAGATCTCCACCGAATTAGGGTCATCAGCTGAGCTAGGGACACTTGCCAAGCTTGAGGAGCCGTACGTATTGTCACCTGCTAATGAAGGGTGTGAGCCCCGTTCCCTCCACGTGTCTTCCCAGACAGACCCCTACCCACAGTTTGGACATCCCAGGCCTTCCCAGTGGTGGGAAGAGCTCTGTCTTTGACAGGTGGGACTCAGATTTGAACCAGAGCTTCTTGGATCTGGGAAAAGTATTCAGCCTTTCCAAGTTTCCATCCCTTTGTGTGGACACGTGCTTCCATTTGTCCTGTGTATAGACCGAGGGACAGGATTGAGGAGAATTGCTTGTTCTTATTCTGTCTGTTTACCTTTGTGGCGGGGGGTGATGGTGGTGGTGGTGGTAATATTGGGGATTGAACCGAGAGTCTTTACATTGAGCTCCATCCCCAGCCCTTTTTTATTTTTTTGTTTTGAGATAGGATCTCGCTAAATCACTAAATTATTCAGGCTGGGCTAAAACTTGCAATCCTCCTGCCTCAGCCTCCCACAGTGCTGAGATGATAGGCGTGCACCATCATGCTCAGCTTGTTTACCCTGTAAAGAAACTAACTGTGCCAGGCTATTTTCCAACGCGGGGCTGCACCATTTTACATTCCCAGCAATACCGTGAGATGGTTCCAATTTTCCCGCCTCCTCGACAGCACTTGCTCTCTGCTTTTTAAATTACACACCCAGTGGGTGTGACCAGTGGGTGTAAAGTGGGGCCTCCCTGAGGCTTCAGGGTGCCCTTCCCTTGTGGACGTGGGGTTGGACACTTTTGTAAGTGCTGTCTCCACTACACGTCTGTCTTCCTTGAAGTGTCTAAGTTTCTTGCCTGTTTCAAAATTAGATCATTTGTCTTCTTCTTACTGAGTTGTGAGAGTTGTTTAAATGTTCTGGAGTCTCTTATTGGATTCATGGTCTGCAAATATCTCCCTAGTCTGTGCCTTTCCGTTTACTTCATCGACAATGTCTTTCAAAGCACCAAGGTGTGAATTTTGCTGGACACGTCTCCATTCCTTCTATTGCTTGAGCTTTTGGTGTTGAAAGTCAGGAACTCTTCGCCTAAGCCAAGGTGATGAATAAACACCTGCACTTCTTGTTAAGTGTGTACAGTTTTAGACCTGCTATGGAGGCCCAAGATCCATCATGAGTTAAGGTTTGTATACAGTATAAGGAAAGGATCCAAATTTCTTTTTTTTTTTTTTTTTGAAAGGATCCAAATTTTTTTTTTTTTTTTTTTTTTTTGCATGTAGATTTCCAACTGTCACAAGACCATTTGTTGAAAAAAACAAAGAACAAAGAACAAAAGACTATTCTTTCCCCCATTGAATTGCTGTGTCACCTTTGTCAGAAATCTCAGTCACGGGGCTAAATGTCCCAGCTTCCTTTCACCCCGTCCTCTTGCTCTCCCCATGGTGGTGGGCAGGCTGGCTGGACAGAATCCTTAGCCACTGAGTTTATGCTCTGTTTGACCAGGGGTGCAAAGCCCTCCCACCAGAAGTCTAAGCCAGTGGCAGCATCAGTGAGCACAGCCGGTCAAAGGCACTGTGGTCTACCAAAGCAGGGAGGGCCTGTCTTCTTCCTCTGTGAGCTTTGTGATCTGGCTCAGGTGTCCTCATCATATTCTGCCTCAGTTTCTCCATCTGTGACTCAGGGGTGGTAGTAGCACCTTACCTTCCGTAGTTACTGTGAAGGCAGAGCAGAGGGGTGAACAGTCCTCAGAGGAGGAGCCATGCAGGCCGCGTATAGGTGTGGCACTGTGTTCCGACTGACCCTCCCTGATGCCAGAGGCCGGCAGGAGTCCTCTGGCATGCAGAGTTGGGAACCATGGACTGAGTGTAACACCCACCTATCTTCCCCCTGTTTGTAAGTACCTACCTTGTGCATACTCCCGCTCACACCCTGCCCTGAAGACACATGCATGCCCTCCTCCACCCCTCCCTCCTCCTGTTTGTAAACCGCTCTCTGGCTGCAGAGCCGGGGCTTCCTCTTCTTCCTGCCCTGGCCTCCCCCCAGTCTGCTTGCAGGTGTCCTGCTGGATGCTCCCATCCCTGTCCTAACCTGCCTCCCGGGGTGGGCTCCTCAGCCTCGGTGCTGTTGACATTTTGGGTCAGATCATTGCTTGTCGTGGAGGTGTCTGGGGCATTTTCAGGTGTTTGGCAGCAGACCTGGCCTCTGCAGCAGCTCCCTGTTCTAATTCTAGGTGCTAGGACAAGATCCATGCCCAAACACTGCTGCATGTCTGTCCCCTGGGAAGCAAGGCCACACCCCACTGAAAACAGTTGCCCCACGGCTCTTGTCTGGGTGCCATGTGGGAAGGGCCCTGGGGACAGTGTGTCCCTGCATGGAGAATCCCGGGCACACTTGTCCCCGGGGCCTTGCTACCTCTCCGGAGACTCTGGGAGGCAGTGTGTGTCCTCCTGTCCTTTTAGGTTTGCTGAGGCACAATTCTGACACCTGTGGCCCCTCCAAGCCCTGCGCCCCTGAACTCTCTGCTCTGGGCTGAGCCCCCTTCTCTCAGAAGCTGTGTCTGCAGAGCTCACAGAAATGCAGAGGGACACAGAGGACACTGCACGGCCCAGCCTCATGCCTGATGACACCGTCTTCGCTTTGAGGCGGAAGTCCGCATTGCTGCAGGCCAGGGTCAAAGGAGATGTTGCTCTACAGAGAAGACCCAACGGGCAGCAGCGGAGAAGCCGGCAACTGCAGCGCCTGCCAGAGGGATTGCGGGCAGTGCCGCAGGAGGCCAGACACCAGCAAGCCAGAGACCCCCAGCGGCTGTATTTAGCCCATCCACTGAGTGGGGCTGCAAGGTGGGCAGTGGGAAACAAACCCCACTCAGGGGAGCCCATCCTGCAGGGAGCAGCTGGGCCCCTCAGGGGCAGGCAGAGGCACAAAGAACCCCTCAGAGAAGAGAGGAGTTGCAGGGAGGTGCCACCCGGAAGACAGGCCTGGCACACCAAGTCCCTGAAGAAAGCAACAGGCTTGGAGAGACGGGGGGCTCCCCGAGCACAGTGTCTGAGTCCTCCTGAGAAGAGAAAAGAGAAGCGGGCTCCTTCAAGCCAGACCAGCGGTGGCCGCCAGCTTGTGGAGAGTTGGGCGGGCTTTACGACGGCCGACCTAGAAAGGCTGCATCCACTCTTGGCTGCTGCAGTGGAAACCAAGTTCCTGGAGGAAAAGGCGAAGGAAAAAGCCCCAAAGCGGATGCGGCAGGTGGGAAACGGGACTGACCGCTCAGCTCAGGGCCCGAGAAATTACTCCAGGGCGAGTCCAGAGAGCCAGCCGGAGGACCTAGAACAGCTACGGCCCGTCAGCTCCACTCACAGAAAGGGGTCTGAGTGCCAGCGTGGTGACAAGGACTTTTGGCAGAAGGAGCTTGCGTCTGCTGTGGAGGAGTTGTTTAAAACAAGCAGAAAGCTGAGAGAACGCCTCACTTGGCACCTGGAACAGAGGCCCGTGGCAGACCAGAACCCCGCTGGAGAGCAGGTCTTCCCAGAGAGGCGGGGACCAGGTAGTGATGTCCCTGGAGAGGAGGGGCCGGGGCAGGCAGCAACTGTACTTGCCTCAGAGGCGGGGTCCCCCAGGACAGCCTCCCAGTGCAGTCTGCCACAGTTACCAAGCCAGGCCGAGGGCGCCCAGTACCATCATTTGGCCCCATGCACTCCCCAGGGGGAAAGTCAGACGCTGCCTCCCGAGGACAGGGTATCCGTGGGCGGAGAGGACTCGATCCTGCAGAGCCCCACACCTGCCACACCGGCGGAGGGCTCACCTCATCCTCGCCGGCAGGAACAGCCGGACCCAGCGGGCTGGAGGGCATCGAGGCAGAAACAGAAGACCGCGGCGGAAGGGAGAAAGAAGAGCCTGCTGGAGCAGACCGAGCACCCGAGCATGAGCTTGGAAATCCACTACAAGGCTGAGCTGGAGGAGGAGCGGCGGGCGCGCAGGAAGACTCGCCTGGCCCTTCTGAGGTCTTACTCCACGGGGGCCCCGGCCAGGGACGCAGGACCTGTGTGCAGAGCCCACTCGCCCCTGTACGGCAGCGGCAGCGTCAGTGAGGAGAAGCACAGTCAGATGGTGCTTGGCTTCCAACGGCAGATCTTAGAGCAAAACAGGCTGCACACGCAGTTTCTAGAAAAAGCCAGGAAACGTTTGCGAGAGTTTCAGAAAACGTGGTAAAGGCGAGAGCACGCTCACAATAAATACATCCCTCGTTAAGGTCTGTGCAGGTGTCCTGTCCTCCCTCAGGCCCTGTACACTCGGTGGCCTGCCCTCACACAAAAATAGGGCCCCCTGGAGGCCAGAGATTTAGGTCAGTGGTGCCACGCCTGCCTCACATGTGCAGGGTCCGGAGTTCGATCCCTGATACCGGGAGAAAAAAAAAAGAAAAAAGAAGTCCCCCCCCCCATGTGG